AGGTGAAATAACCGAAAAATCTGTCGGCCAGGTGGAACAGCTGCTGAGCTGTCTCGATGGTTCTGGAGGAAACGCGGCAGCGGCACCAGGTTAAAAGTAGTTCTCTTGAAGCACCGGAGAGCCCTTCGAAGAGAAACATTTAAAAACCTTAGCCAGCGCTCCCTGACGGGGTTCTTTCTAAATGAATTAGCTGCTGAGCATTTTATTAGAGAAAAAAAAAACCTGTACAGAAGAGTAAACTGAGAAATTGGAGCATATTTTTTTCCTTTTAGTAGTTGCAAGCAATGTCTCAACCTCAGCAATCTTAAACCATTGAGTTATATGCTATAAATGTGCTAATTAATTGATTACTACCCCACCAGTGTACCATGTTTATTTACTATAATGTACTACATGTGTGTCGAACCAGTAAGTATCAATCCTAGTACCAAATCTGACTCAAGTTCACCTTCCTAGGATTAATAGAGCATCTAGGTAGCTCCGCTATCTTCCTTCCTCAGTGGCAGCAATCACTGGGGATAGAGAAGTTGGCACCTGGCACTGGCTCGCTCTGGTGACGGGCTGAGCGAAAGCATCACACCTTCACAGCCACGTTCTGCTCTTACATTTCACGGTGAAAATCACCCAGAAACCTATTGCCTAGAAGTGGACGTCTGACAACTACTTTGATTTTTAAAAGTATTTATTCTGAGATCCTTTCCTGTTAAATTTGTGTTGCTCTTATTGTTAGAAGGGCAAGAGGAAAGAAAAATTCTTCAGCCTCTGGCAACGTAACCTCGCCCCGGTTAAGAGACCGTAGATGCACTCCTGCTTGCACAACGTAATGCAGGTGGAAGGAGGTAGCATCTGTATTTACAAATGCATAGGAGAATAATTGCATACTTCAAAAGTCTGCAAGAATCGCAACCAAAGGCCCTAAAGATGAGGCTGGAAGCGTTAGGAAGCTTGTGTTGATGATACTTGGTTGTGTTATTCAGGGCTCTCTGTTCATTAGATTCTGAGGGGTAAGGTAGTAAATTCTCCTGAACTAGCCATTTCAATGAAGTATCAGGTCTTTCAGGAAATAGGGATTTATTTTTTTTTTAGGGTCTTTATCCCTAACTATCGAAAAAGGGAGACCCAATTTCCAGTATCAACTCCAGGTGATCTTTCAGGAGAATGCCCTGAAATGGTCGGCACAGCTGCTACAGCACGTCAGTTCTTGCAAAACCAGAGAAGCGCTGCCAGCACAATGCACGGCTTCACCTGCAGCTCCGGCCCAGCAGGAGCACAACCCCACTGCCCCTCATCCCCTTCCACAGGCATTCCTCACACCTGGCAGCTGGGCAACCCAGGCTGGGCTTTTGCTGGCCTTAGCCACGCAATTCTCTGGCAGTTTCTGATGAGCAGCCACACCTGAGCAACCTTTTATCTTCCAATTCGCACTTGCGCTATTTTCTTCCCAGTCTAGACCCTGTTCTGAAATTCAAGCTACAGTTGAAGAACTCTATTACTCCTTTAGCGAGCGGGAATAAATCATCCCGTTGTGTGACCAGGAGAAGCACGACTATATTTCTGACCTTTTTAAAAAATATAATTTCATTTTATATCTGCTGTATTGCTACAGAATACATTTTTGGCACCAGCAGCATAGGAGTTGAACGTTCTTACATTCAGCAAAGCAGTTCCAGTCCTTCCATCAGCTCAACAACTCAGGAGTGTTAATAGTAATTAATAACTTTGTTTTTTTCCCCAAAAAATACATTTCACACTTTGCACATGCTGAGAAATCTCTCACCGCGGGAACTTCCACGTCACTTGTTTCCTGCAAAAACAGGTACACTTTTCTTTTGTCAGAAGAGATCAAAGCCAGAAAGAAGCGCAGGTTTCATTTCCTCCACGGACACTGCAGGCTGTGAAGTGCCAGTGAACTGATGAGCCTCTCACACCTGATGATGTTCTGGCGTGGATCAAGGATTACTCTTCCTTAACCCTTACGAAACGAGCCGACTCCCCCCACGCTGGTGCTGCTGCGCTCTCCCCTGCCGCCTCTTCCCCCACGATATCGCTTCTGACCACACCGGGAACGGAGGTGAAACCAGGAAATCCGCAGAGGGTAAATCTTGGCGGTAAAACACGAGAGAGAGAGCACGATAAATGCGGAAAGGAACAACAAACAAGAATTAAAGAAAAATATTCTTTTCCATTTTTATTTGAAATGGGCATCAGCATTTACGCAAACGTTCTTGCCTGCAATTAGTTACTTCTGTGACCAAAGCAGACGAGAAAGAGGCTAATGTAGAAGGCAGCGTAAGGTAATGGATCAAAGACTCAGGTGCTGGAAAAACTGGGCACTGATCTGCTGCAACTACTTGGTCACATTAATTATTTGTCGTAAAAGCTGTTCTTTCCTGAGCTTTTCCGGAAGTAAGCTCAAAGGTGCTCACTGCACTTGGGACAGTAGCATCCGCCCGGTGGAGAAGATGCACTCTTCTGTAGTAAAATTTAGAATGTGTTGATGGATAAAGATAATTTTACACATGTAACTGTTGTCCCGTAACATAACAGCACACAGCAATCGCGACAATAAAAGTCACCGAGATATGAAATTCAGAATCCCTCTGACAGGCAGATCGACAGAAGTCATGGTATTACTGGGAACCGTAGTTCAGGTATAGTTGTAATGGTCCTCTCCGAATCTGCTGCTGAACTAGTGCTATCACTATTTATTTTTGATCATTTGAAAATGAACATAAAAACAACTGCTGCAAAAATCTGTAGGTAACAACCCCGCGAAATCGGGGTTGCTGGCCTTCCTGGTGGCATTTAAGAGTATTTCTAGGCAGAACGCTGGACCTACTTTGATGCCAGAAGCGTGCCTCGGAGAAGAGCACAGGTTTGAAGGGGAGTTTAGGGTTACAGGACTCTTCAACGGAGTAGGATCTCCTATTCTGATTCAGTGACAAAGCCAGCGTGCCTCCTGTTAATAGGATTTTGCAAACAGATACTGGACTTGAGGAGTGACAGTATGAACGTTGGGCATTCATCACAATCCTCTGCCTCTTTATTTTTGTGAAAGAACCGGATTTTCTTCTAAATGCTGCGCTCGGAAACCATGGGAATGTTGTGTCTTGGTTAATATTGCTTCACATGCCAACGCAGAAGGAAAACCAAACCTGTTCTTACAGATGAGAAAGCATTTCCAGAAGCATAAAGAATAAGGCACTTCAACATTTTCCGTTAACTATTCTTTCAGAGCATCTGCTTTCGAAGGTTGCTCCTCTTCCAATTTCAGTTTGTTTTCTGCTGGAATTCTTAGAATTGCTTCAATATCTTGAATTGCCATCTGTAACAGATTCAAGGAATACAAGTTATTTAATGGGCACTATAATGAAATCTAGCAGCCAACACGCACAGCTGGTCGCACTTGCCTTCAGAAGGGAACCGCTGTTACACAGGGCACGACGCACCCATTAAAGTTACTGTTACTTTGAGGACAGTCGGAGGAATTATTAGTAAATATGTGCAAACCTCAGGTAAAGAAAAAAATGCGTTGCAACTCGTCCTTCTAATTAACTAACAGGTGTTCTATCTCTCATATGTAAATCACTGGTAACTCACTACGAAGAATTCCCTGATAGATTTTTCAGTAGTGGTTGCTTTTCGCTCCCTCATACTGAGAATTGAGTACTCGGGGGCTGCCTGCGTAAAAGAAATTGGTGTGAATAATCTAAGGAGCTATTACAAGCTGAGAAGTTTGTTTCTAATTTAAGATTCCTCCCTCCCTTTAAAACACAAAACAAGACAATTGTGACAGAACTGTCTGAGGCGATGCCAATAGCTCCTTTGCTCTTAGAGAAGACAGCCAGGAGCATTACGGCACGAGTAATTTCACGCTGAAGTATGTCTCCTTTCAAAGGAAAAGTTTCAAACTTAAATTTAACTAACAGGTTCATTGGGAGACTTACGATATTGACCTAGACACTGTAAAATATGTCCCGCTACCGATAAAACGAGAATGGTTTAGCACTTGTTTATGATACAGCATGAGGTATTTTCAGCCCTTGTACAGAAATTAACCAGGATCGTTAGTTAATTAACACCTCACCTTAAAATTGGTCTCGCCTTGCATATTAGGTGGTGATATTTCTTGATGGATGATGAAGAGATTGCAAGCAAAGGTCACGAGGACCCCCTGGAGATCCTCTCCGATTGTTCTGTTAATGATATCCAAACAAATGAGTTTACCAATGATTCCCTTCACATGCTTAAAAACAATCGCCCCCTCATTTGTGCCTGTCTGGTGATGGAATTTAATGAGTATTTTCAATCTCGCAAGGTGGCAATCTTCAGGGAGATATGAAAGATGAGGCTCCATTTTAACTTGTCAACAGAAGGGATTTGCGTAATAAATAATTTTTATTAATCAACTTAGCAGAAGTAAGCAGGGACGTTTCAGCTCCTCCAAGTAAAAGGCTACCGATGGGTTAGGGCTGAGCCAGCAGAACACTTTAAACACCTCGAGTAGTGCACAAGAACCTGAGCTTCTGCCTACGATTTGTGCAAGACATCCAGAAGAGAAATTTCAGCAGCGTCGGCACTTCTTCAGATTGTAGTTTTTGAGGCTTTGGTTTCTCAGCGGTACGTAGAGGCTCCTCGATACAAGAAATGATCTTCTGAGACAGGATATCACGCTGAGGAAGATCGCATCTCCCTGACCGAACTGACAACAGATCTCCAACGTAGTGAACTGCGTGATAATTCATGCGGGCGTTTCAGTTATTTCAGTGCTTTTACAAGCTCAAAAACTGTTACATTCCTGAAAATATTTCCAAATTAAGAGAACAAAGTTGCATTGAAAATGAGATGGGAGACAAATCTGGGATCAGAATGCGTGGCAAATATATTTAAGAGTATTCCGGTAATACCATTGCCAGTTCAAGCTGGTGATCTGAGAGGTGGTGTTAGTGTTTCTTACCAGGGGAACAACCCCTGAGGTGTTGTTCCAAAGGAGTAAGAACGAAGGATGGATGTGAAGGATGGACAGAAGGACTCCATTTTCCAGGGTGCCTGGCTGATGGAGCAAAGTCACGCAAACGGGGACAAGCCAACCCAACGGTTGACAGACCCTGAAAAGGGCAGGTCCTCCTCCTCTCTGCAGCTCCTCCCCATCTATGTTGCACGAATCTCCTGCTCACTATATACCCACCTGTGGGCTGATTCTGTCTTAGCCTCACAGAAAACCAATCCAATTTGAAAAAAGGTGAGGTTTTTTTTGCTGAGTTACTGAGCTGAATCAATTTCTGGAGAGGTGTAAAAGTACTGGAGACAATGCAGGAGGAGGGAGGAGGACTCCATAGCTGGGGTCAGGGAAA